GGTACATGATAGACAGTCTCACAGTGGAAGAACTGAGGTGGACACCAGTCTTCAAGGACGGAGAGGATGAGATTGTCCCACCCATGTCCCTGCTGAAAACCGACATCACGAAGTCTTGCCTTTCTCCGAGATACCCAATCTCACGACGTCAAATTAACGTTTTCCACCACAGTAGCAGACTGTTTTCGGTGGTAGCACGTCATTGAAGGAAGCTTCATGTTGCACGCGCTGCCTCGTGGTTTTCTTGAATTCAAGAATACAACAATCCCCGGGTTTACACGACCTAGAATTGAGGAGTTGAGCTGCCACAGTCTGCGACGCTGTGCATCCGGGGCTTGGGGACAGAACACGGATCATCTGGTTTGGCAGGCTCTGTCAACACGCTTTCCCCCCTGCCACATCTGTCTCCACATCGCAAATATCGAACGCAGGACGTTGCCCGACCCGCAGGCCCGTATCCGACACTCTGCAGTCAGCACGAAAACGTCTGTTTGTCTCCTTCCGAACCGCCGCGTGATCTTGAATTTGGAGCCCATCGCCGTCCTGGCCTGCAGATGCATCGGTAGCGTCATGCGCTTTGCAGCAGTCTCCCCACAACTGATTGGCGATCGCCAGACCGTTGCGCTGCGTGTCTCGGCCAAGTTGACCAACCCCCCCTTCTTCGGACCCGACCCCGCCAACGGCTCCGCAGCCTAAACCGTTCCCACCCTCCGTCCTCCGGGATCGCAGCAAAGCCGAGCTAACCCGTCCCAGCAAAGCGGCGACGTGATGGCCACAAACACCCAATGGCGTACGTAATATGAAGAGTGTTCTCCGTTTTTATCGGGCGATCCAGAACGCGGGGAGGCGCGACTCGCGAGCCGAGGTGGTGTGAGTGGCCCAGCGGAAGGCGGATGGTGGCGGATCCCCAGTTTTTTATCTTATCAGATCATCTCCCTTCCCCCTTTTAGGGCCCCATCACAGACCTCCTCCTGCCCAACGTTCCTGCATTCGTTCCCGCCCCGTCCCCAAAGCACGGCACGGCACTGCAAACAAAAAGGACAATTTGTGCGCTGCATCTCTTGGTAGCACTGCATTTGCGGTACGGTACGGCACAAAATTCCACTCATACCAACAAATTCCCATCATGGCCCAGTCATCTTCAACCCTCTTCACCAACGCCAACGTCTTCCTGTCTGGCGTATCCCCCGGCACAAATGCAGGCCTGAACCGGCCCCCGACATTTGCCTCCTCCCTGCTCATCCAAAATGACCGCATCACCTTCGTCGGCCCCTCCTCCGCCCCCGAAGTCACCGCCGCTCTTTCCGACCCCAACACCACGGTGCACGACCTCCATAGCAAGACCCTCCTCCCCGGCTTCGTCGACGGCCACATGCACCTCATGATGATGGGCCAATCCCTAAACAAACTCGACCTCGGTGCTTGCAAAACACTCTCCGACATCCAATCCGCCATCTCCGCGCACGCCAAGGCGAACCCCAACGCCCCGCGCCTTCTCGCCCGCGGGTGGATGCACTCCATGACGCCCTCCGGCGTGACCGCCACCGACCTTGACGGGCTGGACATTCCCGGCTCTGATCGGCCCGTGCTTATCGACACCAAGGACCTCCATTCCACGTGGTGCAACACCGCCGGACTCATCGAACTCGGCGCCGATGCCTGGCCGGATGTCCCTGGTGGCATCATCGAGCGGGATGCAAACGGGAAACCCACCGGCATGTTCAGCGAAGCCGCGAACATCATGTACGTATGGCCGCACCTCGCGCAGGTGGCCAGCATGGAGGAGCGTGTGGCGGCGATTCGGTCGGCGGTGGAGGTGTATCACCAGGAGGGATACACCGGGTTGATCGACATGGCGATGGACGAGGGGGCCTGGGAGGCGCTGCAGGCGTATCGGGCGGCGGGAGGGGAGATCCCGATGCGCATTGCGGCGTATTGGCTGGTCAAGCCGGGGAAGACCACGGAGGAGAATGTTGCGCAGGTGGAGCGGGCGATAGAGCTGGCGAAGCTGTATAACGCGGAGACGACGCCAGATTGTCGGATTGTGGGGGTGAAGGTGATTTGTGATGGGATCATTGACGCGTGCACGGCGGGTTTGACGCAGCCGTATGCGCATAATGATCATTTGGAGGTGCCGCTTTGGACGCATGAGCAGCTGGAGCCGGTGGTGAAGCGGGCGAACGAGGCAGGGCTGCAGATCGCGCTGCATGCGATTGGAGATGCAACGATCAAGATGGTTATCGACATCTTGGAGAAGTTTGCGAGTGTTGAGAAGCGGCCGCGGGTGGAGCATATTGAACTGGCGAGTGAGGAAGATGCTGCGAGATTGGGAAAAGGGAAGATCACTGCGTCTATCCAACCTGTGCACGCCGACCCTGCAATTCTCCGTGCATGGCCAAGACTGTTGGGAGGACATCGTTGCGAGCGGGCGTTTGCATATCGCGAGTTCTCAGACCACGGAGCACCGCTCGCGTTGGGAAGTGACGCGCCAACAGCACCGCACTCGCCCCTGGGCAATGTGTACGTCGGGACGACGAGGAGGTCGTATCGCGAGCCGGCGTATGAGACAACAGTCAACCCTCACTTCGCTCTTGGCTTGTGTGAGTCGGTTGCTGCGGGGACAGAGGGCGCAGCATACAGCTGCTTCGATGACCACAGGATAGGAGTGTTGAAAGCGGGACACAAGGCCGACTTCGTCATTGTCGACATGGAGTGGGAAAAGGAGAAGTTGATGCAGGCCAAGGTGGTGGAGACGTGGTACGACGGAGCGAAGGTCTTTTCGGCGGAGTGAACATACCCAAGAAGAGAAGAAAAATCAGCATCTAGTCCGCTGCGTAATAGTGTCTCGGCCAGATATTCATCGCAGTTTTCAACCCATCCTCCAACGGCAGCCCAGCGTGGTTCGTCCGCAGGTCGCCCGTCCCGTTCGCGTGCAAGTTGATCCAGAAGATAGCATTCCCCGCCACCGGCCGGAAGGCAAGTCCTCCATCCTCATGCTCCCTCCACCAACCCGCTACCCTCCCTTGCTCCCCCAACGGGCTCGGCGGCGCGATCGGCTTCGCGAACGGGAAGTGCGTTTCTCCGCCTGTGCAGTTATCCTGCAATATCCCAAAAAAACTCGCCACGCGGTTCCACTTCCTGTCGCTCCCATCGGGTGCCCATCGGGGCGTATCAAACCAGTCGTGATGCACGTTGAACCGTTGGCCAGCGGTGTATCGCACCAGCTGCGGCGGGCCCATCTCATCCCAGCCATCGCGGATCATGGTGCCTAGGAAGTGGCGGGCGCGAGCGAGGACGCATTTCACGGCGGGGTCTTCACGGGGGAGGCCGGCCGAGCTGGATGTGCGGTCGCTGGTTTTTTGCTGGCGGCCGCCTTTGGTGACTTGTGAGGGGGCGAATAGGGGCTCGGCGGTCTCGAGGAGGGCGGATATCTCGGGTGGGGTGATGAGGTTGTGGATGTAGATGATTAAGGGGTCGACGGAGACGAGCTGGGTCTTGTAGCTGTGGGTTGGGTCGCAGTAGAAGGCGTTATCGGGTTCTTTGAGGGTGGTGGTGGTGGCGTTGCGGAAGAAGCTGGGAAGGTAACTGGGCACTGGGAGATCGGATACCAGGGAGACGAGCTGCGGGGGCGCGACGTTGTAGAAGTAGGGGATTCCCAGGGCGAGGAGAACAGCAGTGGCTGAGATGCCGGCGAGCTTGGCACGGCTCTTGCTGGGGGTGGTGTTGGGGCTGGATGTCGACATGGCGTTGGCGGACTTGGCTGTGAGAGGGCACAGCAGCAGCAGCTTGCGACATGAGAGGCATGGAGAGGGCCTCCTCAGGGACTACACGGTAGATATGGGAGGTCCCCCTTGGTCCTGGGTGGTGGCACCAGGACCCTGGCATGCTGAACGCGTTACTTGGGTGTCCCTTGGCCCCTGACGGCGGGGGACTTGGCTGTCCATGACGAGGACTTGGCCATCTCGATGGTGAGGGGGGGGGGAGGAGGATGTCGCTCCGAGGTCATCGCAGAACCTGGCGAGTACTTGGCTCATCAGCGGCCGAGCAGTAATTAGCAGGTGTACTGCGTAGTAGCGAAGAAGACCAAGTGCCGAAACGGTGCCACGACAAACTCGCAACACGGGCATCCCCCAGTGCGGGCGCTCACTGGCTCGGCCGAACTCAGCCGGAACCCTGGCAATCATGCCCCGAAGCAATTGGACGCTCGTTTAATGGACGTGGTATCGAAACGACCAAATGAGATTGAAGCGCGGATAATTTCCCCGGAAATCCGTATGCACAGCACTCTGTCCCTCTCCTCACTCCAAGCCCCCCCTCCCCCTCAAGTCCCCTGGTGGGCGAGGAACGCGCAAGAGCCTTGGCGGGTCCTCTGATCTAGCCGGACCAGGCTTTTTCGGAACGAGACGAGGTCCTCGCTTGGCGCCGACGTTGGAGAGGGACTCCGCTCTTGCCGAGCATCCGCGCTGGAAGTCGGCTCGGGGCGCCTTGGCGCTTCCTTGGACCTGGTTCGACCTCCTCGGTTAGGAAACATGGGCTCGGGAATCGGCTCGTGCGTGGTAGGTGATGGACCGGTAGCGAGGGTCTCAACTGAAGCTAGTGAACTGTGGATATCCACCTCTTTGGTGTTTTTTGATGTTGATGGAGTTGATTGTTGTGTGGATGTTCGTCGTTGCGCTTTTGCATCGCAAATTGTAGGGGTTGTCGTGGTTTGACCTTTAAGACTGCAGTGGCGGAAGGTAATGCAGGCTGGACGTTGAGACGGATGCACGCCGAAAAAATAGTTGAAAGACAACTTTCCAGTTTCACGGCTTTCGCTTTCAGGGGTTGGCCAGGACTATGATTTCAGTTGACACGTTCATCCCATCTTTGCCTGCAAAAATCAGCAAACGCATACCCACATGGAAGTGACAGTCAACTCGCTGAATGCAACTCCATCAACCAACTCCACCCACGACCCACAACACCAAAAAAGAGAAGTCTGGTTTCCCAGATGTGATGATCTCCCCCGCTCAGGATTGAACTGAGAACCTCCAGATGCCTTTATCTCACCAAGATATCTCGCCTTGAAGAAGATGGAATAACAGTCTGACGCGCTAGCCAGTTGCGCCACGGGGGATGGTGAAGAGGATTGATGGATGCACATACAACACCAGGGATTCGCTGGTCGTCACCGACCCAACTACTGATCTGGCCCTCACTGGTTTATCGATGGGAGAGCAGACGGGATCCCGAGCTTTCCAGTGGGTATGGTCGTATGTGACATCGTGGGGTGGAAGTGTGGATGATGAATCTGGGTGAGCGGTGAAGTGAAGTGGCTGCTGGCGGTTTTCGATGTAGTCAGGGGTTAGTGTAAACAGGTTGGGTAGCATGACTTCAAGGGCGCATCCCTCTTCTTGAAAAGATCAACACTTCAATCTTCCAGAAACTGCATATGGTGTAAATTCTGTGGTGTGCTCGAAAGGTGGGACAAAAAGTGGTGATGTCAACTCTCCTGACGTCACAAAGAACACTGCCGCCTCATGGTGATGTAAATGATAGACATTCCACGTGACATGATGTGACATGATATAACACCAGTCTCAAGACTTGAAGAGCTAGCAGCCATTGCTTTTCATCATTCCCTGCAGACCGTGGCACACTGTCAGCTGGTATCCATCCATCAAGCAAGAGCAAAAACCAACATGTCTGACGCACACCCCCAAGGAGGCGATCTGTTTGATATGGCCAAGGAGGGCACCAAGGGTTCGTGGCTGCCTCACAGGCTCTCAATGCTATCAGACACTGACGTCTCTCATATTCTAGTTCCTGCCGATTCCGCCAAGCCCAACGTCATCCCCTCTGTCGCCAGACCCGACCAGCACGGAGAGTCGACCGGGGCTGGCCTCGGCAGTTCAAGCCTGCACCAAGCCGCCGACAACGCGACAGCGACTACGGGATTTGGCGAAACCATCAGCGCTGCAGGGGGTCAGCTCCCCGACGACATCGACCAGAAGTACAGCAGAAGCGGCGGAAAGGAGAGGAACCAGGGCAATGCTCCGCACGGAGGACGCAACCAACCTTCACACGGTTGAGATGCCCCAACTAGATAAAATAAAACGGAGGTAGAACGAAGAAATCAGTTATTAGAGTTCGAACTCGCGCCACCAAATATGTTCTCCGTGCATCCAGTTCTCAAGATATGACTGTCCCAAAACATGAAGGCTTTTGCTAGGGGTGCACTCATACCGGGTACATTGACTGTTTCGTGCATAACTTGGCAGCAAGGCAAGGATCTGGTGATTTTGATGATCGGCCATGCGGAGTCTTTGCGCGTCTTCTGCGTTGGCGGATGGTTGGCAGTCGAGTCATTTTGCGGACTGGTCAATCGTTTGGAGAGGCGCAAAGAAGGAACTGCGAGGGGATTTGCAAAGTGGGCCAGCCATATCGCGAATGCCTTAGGTACCCTGGATTAGATTAGAGTGAATTAGGTCAGAGTGATAAAGACGGCAAGAGCCACCGGACCTGCAACTTCAGGGCGTAATCTGCAAAACCATGTGAGCAGGCCACTTCTCCCATCTCTTGGAGTCACGAGAACATGATCGTTCATCTCAACTGCAACCAAGACGCCCAGAGGAGACAGTACAATCAACCGACTAGAGCCCTGCATCATGATGGCGGTGAGCTCTCGGTTGAAATCTTCCCTTTGAATGGAGCGCCCTTCAGTCACTTACCAAGGCTTGTGGATGCGAAGGTTGGTTTTGATTGTCCCTGTTGGTGATGTCTTGCATGTCTTATTATGCTCTTACAGAAATCTCCGCAGCTGAGCCACAAGGTATCCAACAGCGGAAGGCTCCCACAATAGGAAGACGCAACTCCATTTGTGGGGGTCAGTCCAAGACCGATGGCAGCCTTGAGCCTCACATAAAAATTCCCCTCAGTCACCCGCGCACATGACCAGGCTGAGAAGGAGAACCGGCCGATTACTTGTCCCGTTGACAAAACATTTTTTTTGGTTTTTTTAGCGAGCAACACGAGAACGAATGCTTCAAAACCAACATAAAGCACAGTTACACAATCCCCTCCAACAACACTACGCGTATCTCTCAAGTTCTTTGAGGGGTGGAACACGGTGTCACAATCAGCTGGTGGCAGTTGAGCATACCTTTGTCGTTGCAATAGCGCGGAGGTGAATTTGTGATTCGCAGGCGTGGCCACACTTTATCATTGCCCCAACGGACGAGAGAGTGCCCGACAGCAGCCAGGCAGTATATGTATTCCCCCTTTCAGGGCGAATATCTCTGCGATTCCTCCCTTCATCCTTCACAGAAAGGCGCAGTATTCCCACAAGCTACACCCACAGAACGTTCTCACACACCTCAACCACGCAATACCACCAGGCGGCAATATGTCCAACAGCTACGACAGCAGCAAGAGCCAAGGTTATGGTGGCCAGGAGCGACCCAGGGAGGACGGGGGTCTTGAGCCCGACGTGTTCACGGATCTCGAAGTTCCAACCGAAGTCCCCAGGTGGGATGGAGGTGAAAGGAACCGGGGCGACGGTGGAAAAGAAAACCCGCCCAGGAAAAGGGATGATAAGGGGGCGCGTAGACACTTGGTTTGTTAATAGCGGCCGACAAACACTGAATGTGAAGTGCTCCGCAGTCTTGGACAGCATGGATTCGGAATTTCTATTCGGGAAGGAGGAGGGGGAATACTGTTAATGTTTGATACCGAATCGTGAATTCGGGGGATTGAACTGGATGAAGAGAAATATACTTGCTGAGTTCATGCACTACTACCGTTCAACACCAGGCTGGAAAGTAGAATCGACGAATTTCTCAACCCGTTTGCAAATCCCCCCTGTCGACAAACCCGCCTTCAGATGAGTTTTCCATCCCACATACGAAGAGTCACACCATCTCCCTTGAACCACACTTCGTGTACCTCTGAGGTCCTCTGACGGGCCACATGCAGTGTCACCATCAGACGGTGGCAGTTGACCTACCTACCGTACCTAGGTTTCCAGGCGCGCGGAGCTGTCATTCACTGGTATGACGACACGTCGACAGTTTCATCGAACGAAATATTTCTGCGTAGTAGGCTCAGCGGTGTATATATTCGCCCAGCTGCACCTCCCTTCTGCCTTCTTGTTCCCTCACACTCCTCAGCAAAGCAAGCAAGCCCTCTCACAAGCTACATCATCACAACCATCGATCCTCGCGATCCCCCACAAATATCGCCTTTCGTCATTACCATCACATACCTTCATCAACCTCCTAAACACCCAAAAAGAAAGAGAAAACCCCCAAAATGTCCAACTCCTACGACGCCAGCAAGCAATCCTCCTCCGCCGGCCAAGAAGCCCCCAAGTGGGACGGTGGCCAGGAGCCTCCCAAGCGCTCATACTACAACACCCCCGTCGAGCCGCCGAGGTATCCTGGCGAGCTCGAGCGCCCGAGGGTAACCGGGCGCTACGAGGACCTCGAGGGGAAGAAGGACCCCAACGGCTACATTGAACTTGGGCCGCAGAAGAGGAAGGAGGAGGATAAGAGCAAGTAGACATGGGGTCTTTGATGTGGATGAGTGAGAGTCTGAGGCTGAAGGGTTGTGTAGGGTTGGACAGTATGGATGAGGAGTTTTTGTTTGGGAAGGAGGGGAAGTATTGTTGATGTTTGTTCGATGCCGAATCGTTGTTGACTGGATCGAGGGACGAAGTTCGGGGAATTCGATTCTTTGTGGATTGTGCGAGGGAGTCGATGCAGGCATGACAGGGGAGATACCACTCAGGGGGAATTTTAGCGTTAATTTTGGTGAAGCCATAGGGAGGGAGGCAAGACCAGCATGAGAAATAAACTCGTTGATTTCAGTTCCTCCCCAACAAGCGTGCAAACTGCAAACTCAACACTCGCTCGAGGTAAGAGTGTCCAAGCCCTTCACTTCACACCTTCACCCCCAACCCCCTCAATCCCTCCAACTCCGCCTCACTAGCCACCACCCCCTCCACCCCCTCCAAAACCTCCACCGCCCTCTCCACATCCGCCTTCCTCCCCCCAAACTTCCTCGCAAACCTCCTCGCCTGCACAACCGCCCAATGCGGCCCCAACACCCTATCCCCCACCGCCACGCCAATCGCCTCATTCCCCTCCTCAAGATGATCACCCCCCAGCACAAGTGCCGTGTGCGCCTGCGGCGTCGTCAAGATCCTATACGCCGCAGCCGCGTGTCCCGCATCCACAGGCGGGGTTACCAAGACCGTCGTCTTCCCCGATAGAGAGATACTGGCGCGGTGGCCCTGCCCGTCGCCGGCGGCGGTCCAGGAGACGTTTGCGACGATGATGTTCAGCCCGGTGGACTGGAAGAGCGGGCCGTCGGGGCCGCCGAGGAGGGTGAGGGAGGCGGTGTGGCTGGCGCCCTGAGGCAAGGTGATGAGGGGCTCGGCGCGGTCGTAGCTGGCGAGGGGGCGGAAGGTGCGGGTGGTGTTGGATGAGTCGGTGACGGTTCCGGAGGTGAAAGAGGAGGAGAGGCCGAAGCTCTGCGGGACGGGGATGGGCGTGTCGCTGTGGTTTGTGATTGTGAGGTCGGCGCGGACGGGGGCGCCAAGGGGGAGGGCGACGCGGAGGGGGGTGACGGTGAGGGCGAGGCCCGGGACGTCGACTTGGCTGTCGTCGGGGGTGATGGGCGGGTGCGTGTCGGTCTGTCGGCCGAAGTCGATGCCGCCGGGGCGGATGTAGGGGTCGGGGAAGTGGCGGAGGCGCTTGAGGTCGGCGGGGCTGTAGTTCCAGGTGATTTGGGTGTCGAATGGGGCGGTGGGCGTTGAGTCGGAGAGGATGGACACGGTACGAGCGAGGAACGAGTGATCGGCATCGGTGTGGTAGAGGCCAAAGGCGTGGCCGAGCTCGTGGGCTGCTGTCCGGAAAAAGGGGGAGGCTGCGTCGCCGAACTTCTTGCCGGCGTTGACGCCCCAGTTGGGCGTGTTGTCGAGTTGGAGGTCGGTGCCGATGGCGAGTCCCTCCCGGGGAGCCGAGTTGGGGTCGGCACCATCGGGGCCGGCGTTGTTCGAGTCAAACATGATGCCGAACAGGCCGCTAATGGAGAAGCGCTTGACCACCAAGAGGTAGAATCGCCACTCCTTATCGA